TCAACATTCTTTTTTTTTTTTCCACTTTGCATTTAAAAAAATTTTAACATTTACTTGTACATTTTTGTGGGGTACAGTGCATTGTGTCAGTACATGCATATACTGCACAATGATTCACTTAGGGTAGATAGCATAATTTTGTAACCTTTAGTCCACAACTTCTCTTCCTCCCCCCCACTCCTCTTCCCCTGGCCTCTGGTAACTATTATTCTATTCTCCAGTTCTATGAGATCTTTTCTTTTTTTAAACTCCACATATAAGTGAGATCATGCTGTATTTGTCTTTCTGTGCTTGACTAACTTCACTTAACATGATGGTTTCCAGTTCCATCCATGCTGTTGCAAATGATAGGATATCATTTCTTTTTCTAGCTGAATCATATTCCATTGTGTATATATGCCACAGTTTTTCATCCATTCATCCATTGATGGACATTTAGGTGGATTCCATCGCTTGGCTATCATGAATTGTGTTGCGATGAGCATGGGAATGCATGGATCTTTCTGATATATTGATTTCATTTCCTTTGGGTATATACCGAGTAGTGGGATAACTACGTCATAAGCTAGATCTATTTTTAGTTCTCTGAGGAAGCTCCTTACTGTTTTCTGCCATGGCTGCACTAATTTACATTTCTACCAATGATGTAGGAAAGTTCCCTTTTCTCCACATCCTCATCAGCATTTGTTATTTTCTGTCTTGTTGATAAGAGCTATTCTGTTTTTGTTTGTTTTTTTTTTCCTTTTTGTCTTTTGTCGTGACCAGCAACGGATCGCAACCCTCAGTGTTGCGCCCGCACTGGACCGGGACGGCCACGGGATCCCAACCCTCGGTGTTGCCCCCGCCCCTCGCTCAGCCAGTGAGCAGCCGGTCTGTATGTGGGATCCGAACCCTCGGCGGGAGCGCCACCGCGCTTCCCAATCAGCGCACTATAGCAGTGCGCCACCAGCTGGCCCCATCCCCTGACTTTCTTATCTCGCTGGCTAAGTAGGAAAATAAGGCTGAGAAGCTAATTACTTCTTTGCAAAGCTAACAAGTCTTTCTTTGAGACTTGCAGAGTTTTGAGAAATGATCAAGGCCAAATGACTGAAGCTGACCTTGGGCACCAGCCAAGTACACCAGCGCAAATCACAATCTTGCAGGGTCCTGAGATAACAGCAAAGACAAGAACAGAAACCAGATGAGGCCTTGGAAAGACCTTGTACCTGACCCTAGAAACGGACCCCTCGTAACACATCTCCTGCTCTCCTGTATTTCACCTCCCACATTCCATTCCCTCAAGCCTTCCTTTAAAAACCCCTTAGTAAATGTAATCTTGGAGATGGGATAGCCTACCATCTCCTTCAGCTGCATACATCTGCTTTTCTAACACCAACTGTTTGACTTCTGAGTTTTTTTCTTTCCTTTTCAAGGAGGTGGGCAGCCGGACCTGAGTCCAGTAACACCATTACAACTTCCCAAGTTGCTAAGCAATTTGGGGTAAGTAATGCTCACGGCCTAAAAGAGTTACTGTAAGAATAACGACAAACAAAACCCAGCCTGCACATCCCAACCTCATCCACAGGATTTCTTGGTGTTACTGACCCCAGTTTACCTAGGCCCCAGGCTAAAATGAGGCCAAGCGATACAACCATTGGTGACGCAGTTAGTATTCAAGATTCAGGATACGGGAGTGCCCCCATACCAGTTTTCCGCATTTAACAAACAGCGTAGGGGATAGGTGTGAAATAAAGTGCTTTATATTTTTGGATAAGTAATCCAGGAAAGCACCCAAATAGTAAACATAAGGAAGAATAATGTAGAATGTGAAGGGACGAAATTCCAAAACGAATGGAGTCTTTTTTGGTGGTGGTCGTCTTTTTCTTTTGTTTAGTTTAAATATTCTTACAGTTCTTCAGACGGAGCACATTTTCAGTAGTTGCATAAATACTGGTGGAAGTAATATTAAAATTTAGGCCAGTAGATATGAAACCTTTTTTTTAATTACAGTATGTACAGCTGCCCCAACTCTAGACTCAGCCTTCTACACCATGCCCCAAGCCCATCTCACCACTCCTGTGATTTCCGACACTTCTTATCCAACCACCAAGTCCCTTCCCACTTTCCTAGGGCCATTGATAACCTCTTCGATTTCCTTGCCAACCTCCAAAATTAGTCATCACTCCCTAACCGAAAATCCTCAACTTCTACTGTTGTAGGGCGAACACAGAGAGGAATCCAAGACCTGCCTCAGTGTTATAGTTTTTTAGCTCTTTATTTTAGTGTTGCAGCTCTTTGTTCAGTGTTACAGTGCCTTTTTGCTTGCAAGCAAGGAGAGCAGTGGAGGGCAGAAGCTCCCAAGCCAGTGTCTCCCAGAACAAAGGGAATGACCCCCTTATCTAGCCTAAATTCCTGCCCTTCTCCCTCCTAGGTTCTCATTCAGGTCCTCTTATGTAAATGAGGGATGCTGTCCAGCTAATTTGGACTGGCTGGTTATGGGACACAGTCTGTTGGTCACTTTAGGAGCCTAATTTGCCTCTGGCCCCTGGGGGAGGGGTGTGAGACTGCTGTTATCTCATAGGGGGCGGGCCGAGTTTGTAGCAGAGAATAGGGTTTCTAAAACAGTTTCTCAAGTGGAAAAGGGAAAGGCTCAACAATTAAATATGCTTAGAGTTCCCTGCAACATTCCCCACTGGTTTTATGTACATGAGTCAAATCCTAGATTCATCATCAATATTTAATCTGGCATAATGGGTTCTTAATACCATAAGCTTTATCAATTGTACTCTTTCCTTAATGTGTCTTGTGAGGCCAGTGAGTATACAGGGGCCTATAGTAAATAGTAATAGGATTACGAGTAGGGGACCTGTTAAAGCAGTGAGGAGTGTTGTTAACCAGGGAGATCAAGAGAATAAATCTTCACACCAATTTTGGTTTTTGTTTCTTATTTCCTCCCTTTCTTTTAACCTTTTTCTGACTAGGGAGAGGCTATCTTTTATTATTCCTGAATGATTTGCATAAAAGCAACAGTTTTCTCCTAAAGCTATACATAGTCCACCTTGTTTTAGGAATAAAAGATCAAGGCCCCTCCTATTTTGTAGCACTACCTCTGCTAGTGAATCTAAGGAAGTTTCTAATTGGCTAACAGATTTTTCTAATTCCCCTAGGTCTAGATCAATTTGTTGACTCAGGGCTTTAAAATTTTGGTTGTTCATTATAAGAGCTGTGGCGCTAATAGCTGCAGAGCCTGCAATGCCAAGACCTATAAACAGAGGGATTAAGACAGGAACTGCTCGTTTCTCGAGGAGGTGCTGCCTTCCCACTGCTCCTTCATAGTAATAAATTTGGGGGACAATATAAACAAGTACACAAAATTCAGTCCTATTAGGTGTAAGGAAATATTGAATAGCTATACATGGAGTCAACCCTGTCAAACAAGCAAACCAAGCATAAGAAAGGGCAACAAGGTAGTTAGAAGCCTGTGACCCATGGGTCATATTACTAATGGTCACCGCATATGTACATGCAGTTTTACAGGGGAAATTTTTAGGGTTTTAGTCATTAGTTTTTATACAAAGTCCTTGGTTTTGTATGCCACCAAGTGTAAGTTTGGGCTTTCTCCCCATGGACAGAGTCTGTCCTTTGTGATTTCGGACAGATTCAGAGACCTAACAGTCTGGTTAGTGGTGCCTAAAGAGTTGTTTATCCCTAGACCAACATAATATGGTGACTCTGGATTTAAGCATAACCAACAGTCAGTTGTTACATTTGGGTTCGATTGGTTGACAAACATAAAAACTGAATCTAAAGTCCCCAGGAGGGGATTGGTGAAAGCATAATCAGACCGGGGTGTAGGAGCTCGGGGGGACGGGTTAGGGTACAGGGAACATGGAGGAGGGGGTAGGAGGTCTTGGTTAGAACCTATGGGGATGTTTAATTTATCTTCTCCTTTTAACTGAATAATGAATTCTCCTCCGGGGTTCACTCCAGTATATATAGTCTTATTCCCCATGTTCTTCCAGCTTTCCAGCTATCAACCATGAAGGGATTCCACATTTTAATAGTAAGGTTCATAGGGCTGCATGTTCCCGGCTGACTACAGTCAGCAGGTGGGGGCTGTCTATTAAGAGATATGTAGGCATCTGTATGAGCCCAGGAGGACTCGGTTTCACAGCCCCAAGCAGCACAGTGGTAGCTCCCTTGTCCCTGACAGGAAGGGCTGCTTGTTGCAGGGCAGATGGAAAATTGGGTTTTTTGGAGGCCTTTTTCATTAATTCTGCCACACCCCCTCTATGAATAGTAGCCATATCGGGTCCCAAATCCCCCTAGAGTTCATCATTTCTCCCTAGCCTTTAAGTTTGTTTTTCCCATTAGCTCACGTAAATCTACTAGGAAAGTGGGGGCCCCCGATGTATGGATGGCCCTAATGGGATCCCCTGTAATTGCATTCCTTCACTCCCATGTATAGTTTTTGGGTTCATGGGGGTTCCCTGATGCAGATGTTATGTAACATAAAATAATCAAAACAACCAGTGAGTCTTATCTTCATCGGGTCTCCTTGGGAGCGCTGGACCATCCATTTTTCCATGGAGTGGTCTGAGCAGGAGTTCCTGGACTGAGGTGTCCGTTTGAGCTGGGTATGGTGGATCGACTGGCGTTTTCCAGCAACCTTCACTGCCGTGGGAGTGGTGAGGACGACAGTGTAAGGCCCATTCCACCTTGGCTCGAGGGTGCTGTTGTGATGTTGTTTAACTTAGACAAGGTCACCCGGCTGGTATGAATGTGGGGTCAGATCCTTGGCTGTTGGTGGGACCCTCTGATCAGTGGGTGGATCCAATGCGACGCCTGTTGGAGAGCTTGGAGAGACCAAAGGAGGTTTTGGTTAGTGAATTCAGCAAATTTATCATCTGGAAGGTGGGGTAACAATGGAGGTGGCCTTCCAAACATTATTTCAAAAGGGGTAATTCCCTTGACATAGGGAGTACACCTTGTTCTGAGGAGGGCAAAGGGAAGGAGGATTACCCAGTTTTCACCAGTCTCTAATTTTAATTTGATTAAGGTTTCCTTTAGAGTCCGGTTCATTCTTTCTACCTGATCTGAACTTTGTGGTCTATAAGCACAATGTAAGTTCCATTTTATTTGTAAGGCTTTTGCTAATAATTGAGAGATCTGGGCTATGAAAGCTGGTCCATTGTCAGACCCCAAAGCTGTAGGCAAGCCGAATCGGGGAATAATCTCCTGTAATAATTTCTTAAGTGTTGTCTGAACATCTCAGTCTTTGTAGGAAAAGCCTCCACCCACCAAGAAAAGGTGTCTATAAATACCAAAAGATATTTCTACCCATATTGTCCCAATTTTTATCTCTGTAAAGTTGACTTCCCAATGTTCTCCGGGATTTGACCCTCGTGCTCTGGTTCCCATAGGCACCCCAGTCTTCGGTCCTGGATTTACTTGTGAGCATTTCACAGTGTTGTATAAAGTCTTTGCTTACTTTGTCTAGATTGTGAATATAATAGTCTTTCCATAACAGTTCAGTCAATTTAGTAGCCCCAAGGCATGTCCCTTGGTGTAGTTGTTTTATTAATAACCTTCCTAATGCCTTAGGTAAATATATTTGCTGGTCTGGTAAGATTTTCCAACCTGTATCATTGTCCTTTGTCTCCAATGCTCTGGCATGTATAATTTCTTCTTCAGTGTAATGTGGGACTGGTGGCAGTTGGGGTGCCGGCATGACTATTAAGGACTTCGAAGGCTCCACTGGTTTTAGCGAAGCCTTCTTCACTGCTTGGTCTGCTGCAGAATTTCCCCGAGCCTCAATTGTGTCCCGTTTTTGGTGTCCCTGGAAATGTATAATGGCCACTTTTTTAGGATACCAAATGGCATCTAGGAGAGCTAGAATCTCCTTTTTGTTCTTTATGTCTTTTCCTCCAGAGGTTATTAACACTCTTTGCCTGTAGAGGGCCCCGTGGACCTGGGCTGTAGCAAATGCATACCTACTGTCAGTATAGATGTTGACAGTCTTGCCTTTTCCATGTATTAAAGTTTATGTTAAGGCTATGAGTTCAGCCTTTTGAGCAGAGGTCCCTTGGCTCAAAGCCTGTGCTCAGATGACTTGTTCTAGTGTGACTACAGCTGCTCTGGCATACCTGATTCCGTTGGAGATGAAGCTGCTCCCATCTGTGAACATCACCTCATCAGGGTCTGGCCAAGGCACATCAGTCAGATCAGGTCGGAGTCCTTGGAGGGTTTCTATAGTCTCAAGGCAGTCATGAAGAGGCTCTTCTGGGTCATCATCTAGAAGGAGAGTTGCTGGATTCAGAGCTGTGGTCTTAAGAAACTTTATTCGGGGCTGGTCTAAAAGTAAAGCCTGGTATTGAGTGATGCCGGCATTTGTGAGCCAATGCTCAGGTGCACTTCTCAGGAGAACTTGCACAGAGTGAGGCGCTACCAGGCTCATATTCTGCCCTAGTGTTAGTTTGTCTGCTTCCTTCACCAATAAAGCAGTAGCGGCTATAGCCCACAGACAAGTTGGCCATCCGGTGGCCACATTATTCAGTTTCCTACAGAGGTAGGCCACAGGCCTTTTCCATGGACCCAGTGCCTGGGTGAGTACTCCCTTGGCTATGCCTAGTTTCTCAGTGACAAACAGGGTGAAGGGCTTATTTACGTCTGGTAGTGCCAAGGCAGGGGCCGTGGTAAGAGCCTTTTTCAAATCACTGAAGGCCTTTTGTTCAATCTCTGTCCACAACAGGGAGGCTTGTTTTCCCCCAGTGCTAGAGTATAAAGGCTTAGCTATTTCGGCAAACCCAGGTATCCAGAGGCAGCAGTAGCCTACTGCACCCAAGAATTCACAGACCTCCTTTTTAGTCTTTGGGGTTGGGGTTTTCAGAATTGTTTCTATTCTTCTGGAGGACAAGGTTCTCTTTCCTCCTTGCAGTTTGTACCCCAAGTAAGTGACTTTTGCGGTACGTAATTGGGCCTTTTTAGCTGAGACTCAATATCCCAGGGTTTGTAATTCCCATAATAAGTCTCTTGTGACCTCCTTGCAGGTCTCATAGTCTTTAGTGGCTAGCAAAATGTCATCTACATACTGTAGTAGAGTGATCTCAGGATATTGTTTTCAGTATAGCATGAGGTCTTGGCTCAATGCTTCGTCAAACAAAGTCAGGGAATTTTTTTTTCCTTTTTGTCTTTTTTACTGACTGGTAACGGGATTGCAACCCTTGGTGTTGCGCCCGCACCGCGCTCAGCCAGTGAGCGGGAACCAGTCTCCACATGGGTTCCGAACCCTCGGCGGGAGTGCCGCCGCGCTCCCAAGCGGCGCACTCTCCAGTGCGCCACCGGGCCCTCCCTAGTCAGGGAATTTTTAAACTCTTGAGGCAACCAGGTCCATGACAGTTGTCCTGAATATCCCCCCTCCCGGGTCTGTCCATTCAAAAGCAAATAAAGGTTGGCATACCTTGGCCAGTGGGAGGCTGCAGAAGGCATCCTTAAGATCTAGCACAGTGTAGATCTGGTGGGATGGTGACAGCAGGCTGAGGAGGGTGTAGGGATTGGGGATGGTTTGATGGAGGGTCTGCACATATTTGTTCACTTCTCATAGATCTTGGATGGGTCGGAAGTCTAAAGTACCTGGTTTTTGTATTGGAAGAAGAGGAGTATTCCATGTCGACTTACATGGAATTAGAATATTACCTTCTCTCAGCCTTCGGATGTGGACAGCTACCCCTCTCCTGGCTTCCAAGGGAATTGGATATTGCTTTACTAAAATACGAGTAGCCTGGTTAGTAAGCTGAACCATAATGGGAGGTCGGTGGATGGCCAGGACTGGGGGGTTCATTTCTGCCTGCAGTCCTGGGATCTCCCATTTTAGCTCCTCCAAGGTGGAACTAGAGTCAATGGGTGATGCCTCTGTGGCTATTATATATTCTTCACTGATTGGGCATGTTATCATTATCTGGGCAGGAGGTGCAGAATTAAATGTCAGTTCTGTCACATCCCCCTTAAAGGATATGGTGGTCTGCAGCTTCTGCAATAAGTCTCTTCCCAGCAATGGATATGGGCAATCTGGCATGACAAGGAAGGAGTTATAGTCCCTTGTCCCAGGTTCGTAATTCTTGCCTTGGTCCAAGGGTAGGATTGAAGCTTTCCTGTGGCCTCTTGTACTAAGGTCTTTCCAGTAGATAAATATCCATCCATTTTACTTAAAACAGAAAAAGTGGCCCGTGTCCATGAGGAAGTCCACTGGTTTGTCATCTACTTGTAAAGTTACCTTGGGCTCCTGAGGGCTCATAAGCATGGAGCCCTGGCCCCATCAATCCTCAGAGTTGTCTAGCTGCAGGACATGGGCTCTTTTCTTTAGTAGGGGACATTTGTCCTTCCAATAACCTTTTTCCTTACAGAAGGCACATTGGTCCCTCTCTAGGGGGGGGCTGGGCTTTCTGATGAAGTTTCCCTTCTGTCCTGGCTGAGGTCTCATACCCTTGGGTCCCTTTGCTGTAACTCTTTGAGACTCAGTGAGTGTGGTCACCATTATCTTAGCCATTCTTTTCTTTTGTTTCTCCTCTGGGCTATCCCTGGCATTACAGACCCTCTGGGCTATTTTGACCAGCTCAGAAAACAGCTTCCCTTCAAACCCTTCTTGTCTCTGAAGTTTCTTCCTAATATCTGGGGCTGACTGGGTAACAAAGGCAATGTTTATTGCATGCCTGTTTTCTGGGGCCTCAGGGACCACAGGTGTGTAGACCCTATAAGCTTCCATGAGGTGCTCCAGAAAAGCAGCTTGGGAACTTGCTTGGTTCCTGTATTGTTTCACTTACTTTTGAAAGGTTTGTGGGCCTCCGGGCAGCTGCACAGAGTCCCCTAAGGAGAGTCTGGCAATACTGATTGAGGACCTCCTTACCTTGATCAGTGTTGGGGTCCCAACTAGGCCAGCTAAGGGGAAATATGTGCTCAAGGTGGCTAGGATCATCAGAAGGCTATCGATCTCTGCCGAGAATAGTCTTTAATTCCTTACGACGAATGCGTTGGCGCTCCTCAGAAGTGAAAAGGGTTTGCAGGAGTTGCTGACAGTCATCCCAGGTGGGCTGATGAGTAAAGAACACAGTCTCCCAAAGAGAGACAAGACCCGGAGGTTTCTCAGAAAAAGGACTTTGGTTCTTCCAATTATACAAATCACTGGTAGAGAAAGGAACATAGACCATGAAAGGGGTTTGGTTTTGAGTTCCGGGGGAAAGGCGGGTCTGTCGGAGTGGGAACATGGGTGCGGGGGAAGCACTGGAAGGAGGAAGCACAGACTCAGGTTCTCCCCTGGTCCAGTAGGTGGCGCCACTCCTCGTGTGTGGGGGGCTGAAGGCACAGTAGAGTCAGAAGTAGGGTAAGGAGGAGGGGCACTGGGGGAGACAGGGGAAGAAAGATCAACGAAGTCCTCAGAGATGTCCTGTAAGACCGTGGGTGGAGGTTTTTGACTGGCTTCTTGGAAGGAACCTGCTGAGGGAAGTGTCTTCCAATTATACAAATCACTGGTAGAGAAAGGAACATAGACCATGAAAGGGGTTTGGTTTTGAGTTCCGGGGGAAAGGCGGGTCTGTCGGAGTGGGAACATGGGTGCGGGGGAAGCACTGGAAGGAGGAAGCACAGACTCAGGTTCTCCCCTGGTCCAGTAGGTGGCGCCACTCCTCGTGTGTGGGGGGCTGAAGGCACAGTAGAGTCAGAAGTAGGGTAAGGAGGAGGGGCACTGGGGGAGACAGGGACAGGGGGAGAAAGATCAACGAAGTCCTCAGAGGTGTCCTGTAAGACCGTGGGCAGAGGTCCTTGGCCGGCTTCTTGAGAGGAACCTGCTGAGGGAAGTGGTTTAGTTACAAGAATCTCCCCTTTTGTTTTAATCCTGTGGCCTGCCCTTTCTCCAGGGATATTTCTGTTCCATTGGTCCAAGTACATGGAGGGGGGGAGTTTTCCCATGCCTGGGTTGCAGGTATTGTTTTAACCAGGGAGGTAGTTCCTCCATAATTTCAAGCCAGACAGTAATATATAAGACTTGGTTGGGGTGCCCAGGGCTACCGAGGCAAATGTCTCGGACTCAGTAGGCGGTAGCAATATCTATAGTTCCATATGAGGGCCAGCCAACCCCAAAGGCAGGCCACTCTAATTCACAAAATTTTCTAAGGTCATAGGGGTCTGCTGAAGCCTCAAAACCGATAGCTTTTGCCTTTTTTCAGAAATAACCAAAGTGAGTTATTATTGCCTGTAGAGGGGTGGCCCCACAAACAGGCTGGGAGACCTTTTTCCCCATATTTTTATACAAATTTTATGCACAAAATATCCTTATGCTTAGGGCCTGTCAGGGCCACAACCAATATAAAAAGCACACAGACTCGATGAGATTGCTAGAAAGCACCCTACTGATACTAGGTAAAGGAGTGCCAGGAGAAACTTTTCTATTTTAGTGCAATCTCTTGGGGTGGCAGACACCAGTCTTATAGCCAGTACTAGGACAAGCAGTACAATAAAAGTTATCAACAGAGGATGGCATATACTTATCATGTTCCTTTCACAGTAGAACTACAATTTATGACATAAGACACAAAAGACAAAGATGAGTAAACAAATTATACACAACACAAGAGACAAGGATGAGTGGCCATGACAAATTTCCAAATAATTCCAAACCAAAGGACTTGACAATGTTTCGTGGGAGTTCTGAACTTGGGAAGTAGTGCTGTGTCCAGCCTTCCACAAGTCCCTAAACCAGAGCTCTGATACCCAAATGCAAAACAAGTTATTGAGATCTCAAACCAAAACTTACCTCCAGAAGTTTACTGAAACCAACTACTGAACAAAGATTCTGATGCTAATTGAGGCCAATTGAAGCTCCTGCGCAGGGGGCCAAAGGACCCTGGTACCGAGGTACAACTTCGCGGTTATTTTCCCAGAGTCTGCAGTGAGATAGGGAGATCAGGCCCAAAGCCAAGGTACAACTTCCTGGTCAGAGGGGACCTCGCCATGCTGCCTGCCATCTGGAGCTGTGGGTCTTGGTTTCCCTGAGTGAACAGATCCCAGACGAGCCCAAATGTTGTAGGGCAAACACAGAGAGGAATCCAAGACTGGCATCAGTGTTGTAGTTTTTTAGCTCTTTATTTTAGTGTTGCAGCTCTTTGTGCAAGCAAGGAGAGCAGTGGAGGGCAGAAGCTCCCAAGCCAGTGTCTCCCAGAACAAAGGGAATGACCCCCTTATCTAGCCTAAATTCCTGCCCTTCTCCCTCCTAGGTTCTCATTCAGGTCCTCTTATGTAAATGAGGGATGCTGTCCAGCTAATTTGGATTGGCTGGTTATGGGATGCAGTCTGTTGGTCATTTTAGGAGCCTAATTTGCCTCTGGCCCCTGGGGGAGGGGTGTGAGACTGCTTTTATCTCACAGGGGGCGGGCCCAAGTTTGTAGCAGAGAATAGGGTTTCTAAAACAGTTTCTCAAGTGGAAAAGGGAAAGGCTCAACAATTGAAAATGCTTAGAGTTCCCTGCAACACTACCCCTAATCTCATCTCTTGGCCTCTTCACCACTCATTTCAAGATGGCCTTGTTGCTGAGTTAAGAGGAGGACAAGCCATAAAACAATTGTTAAGGCAGTCAATGTTTAGGTTACCTAAACATAATTTCAGACTATCAATGTCCATTTTCCTCATTTAACTAGCAGGGTACTGGTTGGGTGTAAGCTAACATGCTTTGAAGAAAGAAACTCGGGAAGGAAGGTTGTGAAGGAAGGGGGTGGCATAGGGACAAGTTCCTAAAATACGAATTATTTTATGTTTTTACTTGCAAATGTATCTTGCAAAATTGCCAAACTTAGCATTCTGTAATACACGTACAGTCATTACTTTCATTACTCTCTGTCAGACCACGGACGTTTACAGTACAGCAGGACTTGTGTGACTTGCCCAAAGATGTCTAGAAACATTGTAAGTGGTAGAAGTGGGATTAATACTTGAACCAATAGGTATGAAAAACTTTGTTGGTTGTTTTATATTTCAGGACAATTTAAGCTATAACTCTATGAAAATAACTGGGAAATATTGAGGAAATAGTTTCCTAGAGAAACGGTCAAAATTGACTCAAGAAGGACATAGGGAATTTCATCAGAACAAAATTTTGGAAGACAAATTTAAAAATATATAAAAAGCAAGATACAGAACAGTTTAGAATGCTACCATCTGGGTAAAAACATAAGAGAAATGGATCTATATATACATATACTTGAATATTCACAGACTATGTCCGGAAGGCAACACAAGAAACTGGTAAGTGGTTGCCTCTGGGGAAAGAAACTGAGGGACTGGCAATAAGAGGTGGACTGAATTTCACGGAGGACTATTCGTGGTATGACCTTTCACATGGTTTGAAATTTTTACCATATACATGTGTTACTTTTTAAAAAGTTGCCAAAGATCCACCTTCCCCTCCTACCCCCAAAGTGCTGGACCAAGATAGTTTCACAGGCTGTTCACTCAAGCCTTCGAGGAGCAGATAATTCTTACTCTATATAAATTTTTTCCAGAGAGAAGAAAAAGGAAAATTTGCAAATTTATTCTAGGGACCTACTGTAAACATGATATCAAATCTGGCAAAGATAATACTAAAAATAAAACTATATATCAGTCTCACTTATTAATATATGTACAAACATCTTACACAGTTAGCAAATAAAATATGGCAGAATAAGAAAATAATAACACCCCATGATCAAGTAGAGTATTTCTAAGAAATATAAAGTTGGTTCAGAAGCAGGAAATGTCTTACTGGCCAGCCCCCAAAAAAAAAAAAAAAAAGAAATTAAAAGATAGGAAATAAAGTGATGATAATTGATAATTTTCTTTGGTCAAAGAAAAAAATCCATCATCTTGATGCAGAAAATACCATTTCTTTACTGAAAATAAATGCATTAATACAGTAGGACTAGAAGGCTACTTACTTAATGTGACAAAGAATATTTGTCTCAAATTAAAACATACATCATGGTGTACCTGGCATTCCCATTAAAGCCAAGAACGAGGCAAGAATACCTGTTATCAATGCTATTACTTAAC